GAGAGGAGCCAGCAGACCTGGGAGGCAGGACCTTGCCCCTGGGGCCCCACCATGGTTTTCTGGTTTCCTGCGCCGGCTCTTTCAGGGCATTTTCCTGCAGCTGTCAACACCTGTGGGTCCCGCCCAGAGCTGGCGGCCTTTCAGGAAGGGATGGGTGGAGAACGATGCTGCTCTCGTTTGCTGTGGTGTTACAGGCCCTGGGAATCCTGGAGAAGGAAGGGGTGCAGGAAGCCTGGGTCAGCATCGTCTGAAGGTACTCATGCAGCAAGTCCGCGCAGGGCCAGGGAGCGAAGGGGCAAGATCGCTCACTGGGTGATCTTGGCCACGTCACTTGAACTCTTTGGGCCTCTGTTCCCTTTTCTGGGGACAATGGTAAAGTGTTGATGGGAGCACTGAATAAGGTCAGGCATGTGACAGTGCTTTGGTATATCTGAGAGCAATGAAGATGGACCATCTACAAGGAAGGGGAAGTGACTTGCAAGGTCACCCAGCAAGTTCCAGCAGGATCCAGAACTCAGACACAGGTCTCCTGCAGACCTACCATATGAGCAAAGTAGCTCCTAAAGACAGTGGGCCTTGTTCAGCCAGTCCATCGTGGTTAGGAGGGACCAGCTGTGTGTGGCAACCTTACGGAGCACACAGCATCAGGTTGAACTTGTGGAGTTGTGCTCAGGCACTCATGGAGTGGGAACATCAAGGCTGAGAGTCTGGTTATAGCAGATGCGAGGAAAGAAGGCCGTGGCTTGGCTTTCTCGTGTGCGTCGGATGAGTATTTACTGAGCACCGGCTGGGTCTCAGGTGCTGTGTTAGGCCCTCGGGATTCACCAGCGAATGAGGTAGATGCAGTCCCTCCCTCATGGGGATAATGTGGACACTTGTGAAAAGACCATTACAGTACACACAGCTGGACAAGTGCCATGCAGGAGGAGTGGGTGGGACACCCCAGGCCCAGAGGTGTGGGAGAGGGCTCCACAGGAGGGGGCCTTTTGGCAAAGGAGCAGAGGAGCTGGTTACATGAAAGCGGGTGGTGCTGGGGCAGGCGGAAGGCCAGAGGAAGGGGCCTCAGAGGCACCGGATGGCGTTTGATGTGGTTGTTGAGGAATGCGGCAGGGAGGGGCGATCAGAGAGACCTGATGAGAGACAAGCTGGAGAGGTGGCTGGGCCAGGTGGTGCCCGGGGCCTTCCGTGTCCTCTGAGTGAAGGGGCAGGGCTCTATGCCGAGAGCAAGGACAGGAGCGTTGAGTGGGGCTCCCAGGCTGGGAGGAGTGGCAGGACCGCATGTGTCCTGGGAAAGCTCCCACAGGCTGTTTTGTGAAGAAAGGATGCAGCACTGTAAGAGGGAGGATAATGGCCCCGGCTGGTGGGGGCAGGGAGGTGGACCTCCTTGGAGCTTATGTTGGCCGTAGCATTGACGGGTTGTGGGGATGGATTGAATATGAAGGGGAAAGGAAACGGAGGCACAGAGGATGGAGCCCAGGCAGCTGGCCTGGCCAGTCAAGGAGGTGTGCGTGCCATTTACTGAGAGGGGGACCCAGGAGGAACTCATACAGGTCGGGGGACATGGAAACATGGTTCTGGGCACATGGGGGGTGAGGTGCCAAAAGACCACCAGGGGAGATGCTGAGGGGGCAGTTGGATGTGGAGCAGAGAGGTCAGAGCTGGAGAGAGATGGGGGAGCCGTCAACATCCAGGGGGAAAGTCAGGCCACGTAGCCTGGAAGCACCGGCATGGGAAAGGGAGGCAAAGAGGGAGCCTGCGGAGCAGACCCAGTGGGAGAGAATGGGGTCACCAAGCCAAGCAGGCCCCTCCAGAGGCAGGCAAGAGGACAGACAGCATGAAACAGCTGTCCTTCGGATTTAGCAGCTTGTGACCTTGGCGGAGCTGGGCTGCAGTGGGCTCAGGAGTGGGGGTGGTAAGGAGGCCGGGACAGCCCTTTCCAGGCTGGGGTTGAGAAGGGAAGCAGAGGGAGCAGTAGCTGGAGCGGGTTGGGGTCTGAGGAGGCTTTGGGGCTGGTTGGTTGGTGCTGAGAGAGAGAACTACTGAGCTTGTGTCGTGGTGGTGGAAGTGGTGGAATGTACCAGAAGAGGGAGGCCTGGAAGCTGCTAGGTATCAGCTGCTGATCCTGAGCTGGTTGGGGGTTGGCCTCAGGCGGGAGGAGGGTCCAGCCCACACTGACTGCTGTCCCATGCCTGTCCCTGGACTGGGCCCTTTGGGAACCACAAAGCATGCTCGGACTCTAAGTCCACCCTCTTCCAGACCATTCCCCACGGTGCCAGGGCAGTATCTTCTCTTCGAGACTTTATGTTTGTCTTTAAGACAACTTTGATCAAGTCTAGACTCCTTAGGGTGGCATTCAAGGCCAGAGGTGGTCCAGCCTCTCCCGCCTGTCTGGGCTCATCTGCTCTCACCCACCAAACATTCCAGGCCTTGAACACTCCTGCCTTTGCTCCTGGGGTCCCCCCTCTGGAGTCCTGCCTTCCTTCTCCATCTCTGATGGTCCTCCCTGCCCCCTCCCAAGCCAGGCTCCTCCCTTATGCTCCCCAGCTGGCTGTGCACACCTTCCCTGGTGTGTGACCAAGTGTTGTATGGGGTTGCATATATGCCTCCCCTACCCGACTCCTCCAAGTCAAGGCACCGCCCTTGAAGTCTCAGCGTCCTTTCTCGGTGTGTGTGTGTGTCTCTCTTCGGGAAGACCACATGTGGTTTAAGCTCACTGTGGAGGAAGAAGTGAAGGGTCTGGGAGCAGCTGTGATGGATGCACCCTAGTGCGTGCTGCTGACTTGGAATGGGCATAGAGTGAAGCCCAGAGATGGCAGAAGTCCGAGTGGCTGTGGGCCTGTGTGAGAGAGCCCGCACAGCGCCCCCACAGTAGGGGTGCAGGGAAGGGGCACGCTGGAGGACGCCGTTGTGGTTGGGAGTCGGAAGGGAGGAGAGGTCATGGACCCGCCGAGCAGGGCCAGTGGAGGTTGATGTCCAGGAGGTGGCAGAGCCTCCAGCGCTAAGAGGAGACCAAGCCGTTCTCACCTCTTTCCTCTCTTGCTGGGGAAAGGGCGCCCCATCTCAGACTGGGCCCCAGGGGAACCCGGCAACACGGGAATTAAAATCCAGGTGTGGGTAGCTGGTTTGGGTCCAGGAGGCTTGCTGCATGGGGTGAGCCGCTGTCCCTGGGAGGCAGACACCGGTGTTTGCCCGTAGAGTGCTCTTCCTAAGGGCAAAACCAGTCATTTCTCCCGCCGGCCCCGTGGTCTTCACTTCCTCCCCATGAACACGAGCTGGCGCTTTGCCCTAGATCAGGGGAAGAGTGGGCCCTCCCTACCTGAGGACTGGGCCCTGAAACTGCCCTGTCAGGGCCCGTGAGGGGAAGAAAGGGCGGTTTTAGACAACTTGAGAGGCCTCAGTTGGCTAAAGCTGAGGGAAAAAAAAAAGCAGGCTCCGCCTGTACTCATGGACAGTAGTCCGTATGTGAGTGTGTGTGTGAGAGTAGGGGGGAAGTGTGCTTGTCACTGTGTGGGTGGGGGGTTGGTGAGTGTGTGTGTGTGTGAGTATATGAGTGTGAGTATGTGTGTATGTCAAGGTGTGTGTGTGAGTGTGTCAGTATGTGAGTGTGGGTATATGTGAGAGAGTGTGTGTTTGAGTATGAGAGTGGAGAGGTGGTATGTGTGTGTGAGAGTGTGTGTGTGAGTGTGTGAGGGTGATCACTCTGCTGCTGGCTGCCAGCCCCCGCTTAGAGTCCCCTCTTTCAAGCCCATCCTTGTGATGTCCTCTCAGCTGTAAGCTGATCACCTCACTGGAGCAGGATTGAGTCGCAGCTGCTGTCTCTGCCTCACCTCTACCCAACCACCTCCCCGCCCCCCAGAGTTCGGGTGTGGAGCCCCCCCGGACAGAGGCGTGTTGTGCAGGGTGGGCATTGGAGGCGTGCTTAGCAGGCCCAGAGGCCGTACATGCCCCAAGGCCCCCTCATGGGACCTCCAGGCTTCATGAATCAGAAAGCTCTCCTGGAATTATGCCAGGACCCCCTGCCTGGCCCATTGCCCATGGCAGCCTTCGCTGCCCTCATCGGGGGACTTGCACATCTATAGCATTAGACCAAGAAGGCAATTTGATGAGGATTGTGCTGAGTGAGCTTGTGGGGGTCGAGCGCGTTTCCTTCTAAGTGGAAATAAGAGCATTCTGATTCGGCTCCAAGAGCGTCATGGCCCTGAGGCCCAGCAGGTGAGCCGGCCACCCCAGGAGGCTCCTGAAAGCTGTTGGCACTTCCCACTGTGACCTCAAGTGATCCCTGGGGGCCCCGTGAGAGGCGAGGGGGCTGGAGCCTGGGTCCTGAGAGCTTCCAGCCCTGCTGGAGATGAGGGAGTGCAGGCCTCCTGCTTTCAAACCGAAGACAGGGGAGTGACGGCCGTCCCTCGTGCCTCCCCGCACACGGCGGCATCTGGGCGGCTTCCTAGCAGACTGCTTTAGCACTTGCTGCCCCTCGTGGGAGGTGGACAGGCAGGTTCAGGGCCTAGTTCTGCCCCTTTCTGGCTGAGGGAGCCTCGGGCTCGCAAGGGCTCCTGTCGGTGACCATGACTGAATTCGGGTGAAGGGCCAGCGCGCAGGGAGCACTTGGTAAACGACCGACCGCTGTTGGAGCTGGGGTTGTTATCTCTTCTACTCTCTTTGTGACTGGTGGCCCAGAGTGGCTGGGCTCTGTGAGCAGAAGCTGGTGCTGAGGCTCAGGAACAGAGGCCTCCCTGCAGACCTGTGGCTTCATCCCCGGCAGGAAGCGCCAGGCCCTGCTGCCCCTGCAGGGAAAGGAGGGGCAGGGCCCGGGCCGGGGTCCCTGGCAGATCCCGCGGCGATCGATCGCCCCCACCCCATGCTGTGCTCTGGTTCCGCGTCCTGCTCTCCCGATGTCCGTCCTGGGCTGCATGCAGCTAGGAAGCGCGTGCGCCTTCTGAGGTGGGAAGCTGCCTCTTCTCCTCCTTTTGTTTTTCCTTTACCATGACGCCTGTTGCTCATAGGTACAAATCAAACGAAGAGTATGTTTATGTGCGAGGCCGCGGCCGAGGGAAATATGTTTGTGAGGAGTGTGGAATTCGCTGCAAGAAGCCCAGCATGCTGAAGAAGCACATCCGCACCCACACTGACGTCCGGCCCTATGTGTGCAAGCACTGTCACTTTGCTTTTAAAACCAAAGGTAAGAGACAGTCAGCTGGGGCACAGCCCCTGCCCACAGCAGGGGCTCCCCTCAGGGAGCCCCAACACAGAGCCCAGAGGCCCAGACCTCTCTGCCTGGGGCCTGGGACCCCCCCACTTCCTGGGTTCCCCACTGGCAGAGCAGCCGGCCACAGACCGGGCAGTGGCGCCCTGGCTGCCCCCGCCCATCCTCTTGGATCCCACCCGGCCGGGCAGCGCTCTTGTGCCCAGTCCCTGGTTTTGCTTTGACCTCATCCCCCCTTCCTTCTGCATGTCTCCTTAGCCCTCTGTCCACCGAGCCGATGAGCTCCAGCATCCGCACTCGTCACTGCCACTCTCGCGTTTGGAAATCCATTCCACTCCCAGCCACTTAACACACTTCGCATGGTCACTTCTCATGCCAGAGTTCACCCCTGCCTCCACCCGCCTCGCCACTCGGACCACGTTCCTGCTCCGCCCAGCTTCTCTGCAGCTCTCAGCACAGGGCCCGGCTCTCCCCACACCCAGAGCGGCAGGCCTGTCCTTCCTGCCCCTGCCACACTCCACAGCAGGGTCAGCCCAGGCTCTGGCGGTCACCTGGGAAAGGAAGGAGGACTGGCCGGTGAGGGTGTGCAGCCAGAGAGCTGTGATGGGAGGCAGTGGTGGCCTGGCCTGCTGCAGCCCCCCCAGCGCCTGGCGTGGACGAGTGGGGCTGGGTCCCTGGGCCTCGGATCGAGCTCTTCCCTGCTCATTCAGGCAGGGAGGACATTGCAGCGTGTTCCTTGCTTCCTGGTAGCTGAGCAGACGAAGGTGCCTCAGAGGGAGGCCTGGGGCTCCCGACACTCTGGTGGCTTCAGCCTCTTGTGTTCTGCAGATTCTTGGCCAGGGTCTGGGCATCAGGGTCCTGCCTTCTCCTTAAGCAAGCTGGGGGCCTCCACGCCAGCCCTGGCTCGAGCCATGTGGTTTGCAGTGGATGGACCTGGAGAGCAGATTCAGCTCTGCCACTTGTTGACCTTCCTCCTGTTGGTAAAGCTGCTTCCAGCAAGAGAGGTTGAGCGGCAGCTCCGAGGAGGGCCTCACCGAGTCTCAGCCCTCCTCACTTCCTCCACCTCTTGCTGGCCCCTCTGTTCTCTCTGTGCTAAGTCAGGGGGCAGTTTATCACATCCCTGGCTCATGGCCTCCTCTCGGACCAGGTACCTGTCTCTGGTCTCCTAACCCTGTTAACCAACCCCCTGCCCGCCTCTGTGCTCTAGCCATCGTTCTCAAGTGGAGCTCAAACTTTCCCACGAAGATTTTGGGGTGAATGGAGGCGCCCACCCTCCTACTTCCCATCTCTGGCCCTCTTCTCTCTTGATGGCTCGTAAACAGTGTCCCAAAGGGCTCCCGGAGAGGGCAGATAGGCCTGGAGCCCTGACATGTCCAGGGCGGCTCACCCAGGGTGACTCAGCCCTGGTGGGGGGGCTCTGTCCCCAATGTGTCCCCCACAATCCCACTTCCCCTGGCCTTAGGTGGCCAGTTGGGACTTTATGGAGGAGAGAGATGGGAATAATTGGCTGACGGTTTAAATAACAGTCTTTGATTCTGAACGCCAGAAACCTCTTGTCTAAGCCCCCCTTGAAAGAAAAGAAAGTGGCTCCCCCAAAATGGAAGTGACTGTTAAAGCTAGAGCTGTAACTAGAACCCAGGACCCCTGCCTCCTGGCATCACCCCCATCATCTTCCTCTGTGAGCAGTGTTCCCCATTTTCTGGAAGAAATGGTAAAACCAGGTGGCCAAACAGGTGGCCTCCAGCATGGATCCCAGCTGCTGCCCCTGCTCCCAGGGGGTGTCCAGGGGACCACACGGTGCCATTCACAGCATGAGGAGCCTAGTCCTTAGAGCGCCTCCCAGCCCCAGGCTGCACAGAGCTGCCCACCACCCCAGGGAGCCATCACCCAGCCACGGCCCATCCGGCTGAGTTCCCAGCCAGAGCCCAGCGGTCTCTGTTCCATTCCCACTGCCTTTGTGGAGAGAAAAGCCCTGGTGTTTCTTTGCCTGAGAGAGGCCTGCATCCTTGGTAGGAACATAGCTTTTTACCAAGGAGATGCCTGACTTGGAAGCCATACCAGGCCCCTCTGAGCCAGGACAGAGTCCTGGGGGTTGAGAGTGCGGAACCTTGGGGAGGGGCTGCAGATTCTCTGCATGCCCTGGCCCTGGAGCCCCAGGATGTGGAGCCAGATTGTGCGGGCTCTCCCGTGCTGCCCCGAAGGCCTGGCTCTCCACCAGCCATCAGGAGGTGTGCTGCGCTCTCCTCAAATGCTCCCAGAGGCTTCTGGAAGACAGTACCTTCCAGAGCAGAAGCAGTGAGCAGATCTGAAACAGTGGATCTCACACTCAATGACCGCAGAGAGGGGCCGGTTGGGGGGCCGCAGGGTAAAGCCGAGAAGGCTGGCTCTTGGCTGTCTCTGCACTCAGGACAGTGAGGGAAGCAGCCGGCACTGAGGTTCCTCTTCCTTCTAGGCCACGAGCCATGTGTCTTCCTGGAGTGGTGGGCCCTTCAGCCATCACTCAGATACCACATGCCCCTCCTCTCGCGGCTCCCAGCCCCCATCAGGCTGCCTCCATTTCCTCCCAACCTTCAGACCCTTGGGCTCTGGCCCAGCCAGGCTGTGTGAGGGCTGAGGCTGGGCCTGGTGGTCCTGGGGGCCCTCCATCACCACCCCCTGGCTGCGCCCGGGCCCAGAGAGTCCTTCTTGTCCGTCTCTGTCTGCCTGTCTATGTCTCTGTCTCCATGTTAGATGTTGTGGTGGCAGCTCCGGCCCCTGGGCACTATCTGAGGGGTGTCGCAGTGGGTGGGGCCGGGAAAGGCCTGCCAGGATGTCCCTGTGGAGATCTGGGGCTCCTTCTCTCAGACGGTTCCCAGAGGCCAGCAGAGTGGCTTTGCCATGTACAGGCCCTTGCGCCGATCGCCTCGGGGGACACAGATGGCAGTTGTGGGTGGGCCTCACGTCCACCAGGCCGCGGGGACAGAGGGAGGGCAGTTGGTCAAAGCCAAACGAGGCAGACAGGGTCATTGGCTGATTTTATCAGCAGAAGTTTCACCTCTCTTCCAGATGTCCATCATTTTCCTTCCACTTACCTTTCCTCCTTCATTCCAGTTCTGTCTGGCTTTTGGTGGGGGCCTGGGACAACTATGAGAGGCTGTGGGTGCTGCTTGGCAAGCCGGGGTTCTGCCCCTTGACAGGGAAACGGTGCCCAGGCCAAAAATGACACCTGTGGCCATTTGGTACACTTCCTTCCGTTCACAGAGGAGGAGACAGGCCCAGGGAGGGCAAGTCTGGGAGGGCGCCGGCTAACGCTCAAGGCTGCTGGTTCAGCTCCTGTGACCCACATGTCCTGTCCAGGCAAAGTTGCCTCAGACTCCTCCCTGCAGCCTCCAGGGGCAGGGACAGAGGAGAAGCAGGCCTCAGGGGGCTGCCTGGTGCCTTCTCCTGGGAACCCTGAGCCCAGACTGAAGTAAAGCCATTTGCATCACAAGCATCATCTCAGCATCCCTCTCCTCCACACACAGCAGAGGTGGCAGAGTCCCCCGTGCTCAATAAAGAGTGACTATCTTGGGAGGGAGGCTGCACATGGTGTGAGAAGGAGGGAGATTCCACGTGGTGGGCATCTGCTCTCTGCCAGGCACACTCTGCTGCCATTTTATGGGTGTTTTCTCATCAACGCTTCCGGGTGTCGCTGAGAGGTAGGTATTTCTTTACAGTTGCAGAAAGGAGGGCTCAGAAGGTTAAGAAACTTGCCGGAGAACACACAGCTAGCAAGTGGTAGAGCCCGAATTCAAACCCACGACCCTCAAGCTCCTAGACCATCCTGGTTCCATTCTGCTAGTATAGAGTCCTGAGGCCATTGGAGTCCTGAGACCTGGTTCCAGACGGGGCTCTGTGCTAATGAGCAGTGTGGCCTTGGCTGGCTGTTTCACCGTGTTGGTCAAGAGGAGCCCTCCCACACATCCCAGCCAATCCTCTTCTCTAATAGCACCTGGACCTGGAGTTAGAGCAGAGCAGGAAAACCCCAGGCCTGGTGGGGGTTGGGTTCATGGTCTGTGAGGTTCCTTCCAACACTTTACCTCCGTGATGAGAAAAGCATTTCCCACGCAGGGTTATTATGCACCATTGTCCACTCAGCATCTGACTTGGTTGAATAGAGACCCAAACCTTCCAGGCAAAACATGTACAACAAATAATGTCATAGCCAGAATGAGCAGTATTCATAGTCCTCTATGTCTGGGGTAGTCAAGGGACAGTGGGCTGGTTCCAGAATCTTAGGGCACAGTTAGTGTCTCTGGCCCATGGAAAACTCCAGCTGCCTTTACCACCCCTTGACATCCTACTCAGGCTCTGCCTCCTCACCACAGTGATGGCAGAGGCCCTTGATGTTGGATTGGGACCTTTGGGGACCCGCTGGCTGCAGGATGACTCTGGAAGTTATGACTCTGCTCCCCCTTTGGCCAGAAGTAGAAGATCCAGTTTTCTGTCCAGTTATAGGAGAAAAATTTGAGTTGGGAAGGATACAGCCATGGACCAGGACTAACGGGAGGAAGGAAAGGGCTCCCCTTCCACCCCTGCTGCCCTTGACCTCCACACCCCAGGGAATCCCAACTTAGGGTTCCCATTCCCCTCTCAGCAAAACCCTAAAGTTTCCCTAAAATTCTCAGAATGATTTAGAAGCTCCCTTTGTTTCATCCGTGGGCTCTCTCTCCCTATTCACCTACCCATCTATCCATCATCCATCCATCGATCCATCCATCCTCCTGTTTATCTATTTCTCCCATCCCCTCATCTAATTGTCTTCCTATCCATTTGTCTTCCCATTTATTTTCATCCTCTTTGTTCCTCCCATTCATCCTCCCACCAATCCATCCTTCCGTCCACCTTCCCATTCTCTTATCCTCCTGTCTGCCTGCCCTCCTGGGCATATATTGTGCATACATCCATTCGTCCATCCAACCAGCCATTCTCCCATTCATCCCATGTCTCTTCCTATCCACTGCTCCATTTTCCGATCTGTTTATTGACTATCTTTCCTTCCATTTTTTTCATTTAATCATCTATCCCCATCTGTCTATCCATGTGCCTATCTAATCCAGTGTCCAATCCGTCTGTCCATCTTCTTCCTGTTCTTCCTTCACTCCATATTTCCTCTTACCCACTGATCCATCTATCCATCCATCCATCCACCCATCCACCCACCAATCTCTCTATGTGACTGTTCCAGGAGTCCATTCTTCTCTCTTCCATCCATCCATTCAAACTCGCCAATTAAGATTAATGAGATAGAGTACCTGATTCAGGGAGCTTATTATTTATTGTATGAATGACCGTATGGAAACACAGCAATCTGCAGAGCAACAGTGAACATGTCATAGTTTGGAGGTGCCTGCTGGGCCCAGAGGAACATCCTGAGGCGTCTGTGCTGCGTCCTCCTGGGGCAAGCTGGGGGTGCTCTGCCTCTCCCTCACAGAGCACTCCTGCCGCAGAGCTTTGTGCCTGGGAAGTGCTAGGCACACGTGGAGGAGAAGGGAAGCTGTTGGTGCCTTTCCCCTGATTCCACAGAGCTCCTGCCACTGTTCATCAGTCTGTGGAGCTGGACTGACCACTTGGGGCAGAGTCAGCCACCCCCCAAGGGCTTTGTAGGCATGGAGCTGGGCACCCCACCTGTGACTGCATGCACAGTGACCTGTGTCAAGGAAGTCAAGGCTTGGGCTCCAGCCTTGTGGCTCCCAGGTCCCTGTCCAGCAGACTTCCTTACACCTTCTGCCCTCTCTCCATTTCTAGCAGCAACTTTGTCCTGGTTTCTCTTCCCAAACCCTAAGATTCTTCCCTGTAGTCTGCCCAGAAGTGTCCTCCGCTGGAAGGGCATCCTCAGTACCCACCCACCATGTTGGTTAATGGGAACCCCGCTGTCATCCCAGCATTTGAGATGGCCAATAATCCTGTTTGATGAGTGTCACTCATCAGGAAAAGCAGGAAAAACCTATTACACATGAGTTGTCTTTTAATTTCCTTTTTGTTTGTTTTTTTAACCAGCATCTCACTTCCTCATTATACCCTCTGTGCCCTCACAGCCCCACACCCACCCTACCCCATCTCCTGGGTACTGCCTCGAATGGCGGCTCTGGCTGCACATCCCAGCCTAAGCACCTGGACAGAGGGATGCCTGGGCCCCTGCCCAGCCCCTGCAGCTGGCAGGGCCTCGACTGGTCTGAGAAGCTAGGCAGGTGCTGCCTCTGTGAGCCCCGGGCCCACCCTGGCCCCCTGCCCTCCAGCCAAACCTGAGTCCGTTCTCATTCCTTTCCAGGGAATCTGACTAAGCACATGAAGTCGAAGGCCCACAGCAAAAAGTGCCAAGAGACGGGGGTGCTGGAGGAGCTGGAAGCCGAAGAAGGTACCGAGTCGCCAACTTCCTCCTCTCCCTCTTCCTCTCCCCTGCCCCCCCCCCCCTCTTCCTCCCCTCCCTGAGCCATGCCCTCTCCTCCGGTTTTCCCAGCTACTGGGAGACGAAGGTTAAACTCACAGCATGATCACCCCCACTCTCTGTACACTTACAGTACGTGCTGTGCAGCCGTAGCTACTGTGCATTCCTCTCTGCCATGTGGTGGAGCACCTGGCGCCCCATGGGTGCTCAGTGAATGTATATTGAATAAATTGATACATGGGTAATTACAGTCAACACTGACCGCACACCATGGTGTGTCAGGCATGTTCTAAACACACGCCGTGAGTGATCTCAGCAAATCCTCACAATGACACTGATGGCTCACACCCACACTCACACCTACACGCTCTGGGCCTGGGCCTCACACTGGGCCTTTTAAAGCCAGAGGCTTTCAGGAAAGCCAAAGCCAGAACTTGTCACCTCCCAACCCTATCCCGCATCCCAGCCCTGTACACCAGCAAGAGGCATGTGAGAGTCAGTTTCTGAGAAGAAGGGCAGAGGAGAAGGTGAGTGTAAGGCAGTGGGTCTAGCTGGGTACTGCCCAGCCTCAGCATCCTGGGAGGAGGCCGGAGGGGCTTTGGCAGGTGGACGGACAGGCAGTCCCCCCAGCAGGGGGAGGCCAGAGGTATTCCTCCTGCACCAGGCAAACCTTTGACCAGATTCCCTAAAACCAGAATCAGGACAAAGCGTGACAAAGAAGGGGGGGTGTGTGTGTGTGTGTGTGTGTGTGTGTGTGTGTGTGTGTTTCTGCTTTTGTTTTTCTGATTGGGGGATATATTTGCAGTCTTACAAAAGAGTTAGATCATATTTCCTTTTAGGTGAAATAAATCACCTTTAATGAACAGAACACCATAAACTTGGGGCTATTCCCTCCAAAACAAGGATGTGCGATTACCATGCTTATCGAGAATGTCCACCAGGCCATTTACAGATGTCTCACTGAGGCTTCATAGCTGGTGGTAGAAACGTGTTTAAGGCAAGTAAAGCTCAGACAGGTAAAGGCAGGTGCCCAAGTTCACACAAAAATGCAGGCTCCACGCCACCCGTGCCTGGCGGGCTGGGCAGGGGAGGCTGTGCCCTCCCTGGGTGGGAGTCAGGAGGTTATGACTGGCTGCACACCAAGGTCCTCTGACGGACCCTGGGCTTGTCCCTGCCCCTCTCCCAGCCTCATTTTTCCAATGAGGCAAAAAAGGATGACCACACCCACCTTATTCGAGGACAAAATCAATGCATTCATTCCAGAAATAATTTCTGAGCACCAGTCCTGTTCCAGGCTGTTCTAGGTGCTGGAGATTCCACAGCGAATAGAACATAGTTCCTGTCCTCAGGAAGCCCACATTCTATGGCAATGAACAAATGCGGAATAGGGCAGGGGCGAGTGTGAAGCAAAAAATCAAAGCGAGGGGCTGGGAAGTGTGGGGAGGGGCCTTTGTTAGCGTGGTATGAGCAGAGGGCATGAAGCCCGCGGTCAGGAAATTCAGGTGAGGTCTGTGGAAAGGCTCTCCCGCACGCAGTAGGAACAGCACAGCCCCTGAGGGCCAGAGTCGGGGGAGATGAGGTCAGAGAGAGCTAGGGCCCTGAAGGTCAGGGGGCGGACTTGGCTGTCCCCTGGAGTGACGTCTCTGATGCTCCTAGATCTGACTGCGTGCAGAGGACGGCCGGTAGGAGGCGCGGCTGGAGAGAGTGATCCAGGCTGAGCGCGCATTGGCCTGGACCGGGTGGACTGAGTGGAGGCGGGAGAAGTGATGGGGTTCTGGAGACACTCTGCCGGTAGACCCGACAGGTTTTGTTGACACACGGACGGCAGGGGGCGAGGCATGAGAAAAAAGGAGCCTAGGCTGATTCGGAGGTTTATGGCCTAAGAAACTGGAAGGATGGAGTTGCCACTTGCCGCGATGAGGAAGTTTCCAGGAGGAACATGCCTGTTAGAAGCGGCGATCAGGAGCATGGCCCGGAAGGGACGACTGCCTCCCGGTGGCCAGGCCAGCGCCGCAGCCCCGCCCCTGACGGTGAGGCCGTTGGGCACCAGCGCCACCGTGTGGCCAGACCCCCTCGGCGCCCTCCTTCCGTCTCCGCGGTCCCAGTCTGGGGCAGGCAGGGCTTGGTGGAGCCTTGGCGGCGATCCCTGCAGTGGCCAGCAGCTCCAGGAGGGGCTTTGGGAATGGGCCATCCGGGCAGGGGCATCTCAGAGCCCTGCAGGAGCCCAGATGTGGGGGGCCTAGCAAACCCCGCGCTGGGCAGGGGACCCTTGGCTTCCATCATTCCTGCACTTGGTACCTCGGGCGGGCCACCGCACTTCTCTGGGCCTCAAAGGGCCCAGAGGGTCTTTAGGAGCCTTCCCCGCTGGGTATCAGGAGATGCTGGTCTCCCCGACTCTCCCTCGCTAGTAGCTCTACCCTCTGACCTTCAACTGTGAAATGCTCACAATGCTGCCTGTCTGCTGAGGTCGTGGGGTACTGGAGATGATGATAGCTAAGGTTCATTGGGTAAATACTATGTGTCAGACCCTCATAATCCTCCCAACAGCTTCATGTGGTGGCTTTTATGACTCTTACCCCCATTTTACAGATAAGGAAACTGAACAGAGAGAGAGAGTAAATTATCCAACATCACACAGCAAGGCAGGGGTGGAGCTGGGATTCAAACCCAGACCGTTTCCTGCTTCTCAAAGCATAAAGTCATTTTTAAACTGGCAGTGTAATAATGCAAGGGTTGTAAACCTTGGTCCTGACTCAGCCACTACTCCCTTTGTTATCTTGGGGCAGCGTTTGCCCCCTCTGGGCCTGGATTTCCCCATATGTAAATGAGGAATGAGACAGGTGAACTCCTGGGGCTGAAGTGGCCCCCCCTGAGTCCTAGGCAGGGAAGTAAATGCTGGGGCAAAGCTCTGAAGTCTGTTTTGCACCCCACATCCCCATGCCTACTCGCTTTCCAAGCCCTGGCCCCTGGCCCTTTTTCATCGCTGCTCCCAGCTGCCAGGAGACCCTGCCCTTGGCCCCACAGACCTCCCTCCACCTGCCAGCCTGAGCTCCATCCCATAGTTTTCGACCTACATCCTCCTGAATGCCCTCTGCTGTCCATCTCGTGCATCTGTCTGCTGCATGCTGAGTTATTGGAAGCGGGAATGCTGGCTTTTTGGCCCCGGGGCAGCTTGGCAAGATGCGGCTTGGAAGCCTGGTTGCACTAGTGACCTGAGTCAGCTTGTGTGTCTGGCCCTCTTGGTCAGTAATGGAATGGGTGCTGGTGTGTCTGAGTGAGGTGGTGGGGCTGGCAATGAACCTGGCGATGGGCCCACAGGACACCAACCCTCAGGAACCTGGCAGGTGGGCCAGGTGTTAGCAGAGCTCTCCTCAGAGTCCCGATGGCTGCCCATTTCAGAGATGGCCAAACTAGACCTGTGGCATGTTCGAGGTGCCCAGGACTGGGTGGGGCTGCCGCACCAGAAGCTAGACCAGGAGATTGGCATTTCAGAGCTCCACTCCCCCACCCTGGCTGGGGGCAGCAGGGGTCCTGCAAGGGCAGCACCTCCCCTGGAGAAGAGCAGCCGGGATGGAGCATGCTTGGCCAAGGCCAGCTTAGCCAAACCTCCACAGGGGCCAGGGCCTGCCACCTGCCAGGTGCCCTACCAGCCTGCAGGAACCCTGCCACGGTGGCAGGTGTGTGTTTAGACTGAGCACGGCCCAGTGCTGCTGGACCAGCCAGCATGGCTGCTGGGTGCCGGAAAAATAGATTTCTTCAGGAGTGTGTTAAGAGTGACCATAATTATCTGAGCCCTTGCTTTGTGCCAAGTGTGCATTTACTCCTCCTCGCAAACCCATAAGTTGAGACCGTCACATTCATTCGACAAAGGGGAAGACTGCAGCACAACAAGGTGCCTTAACTTGCCCATAGAGGAGCCAGCACTGAAATACTGTTAAAAAAAACCAGGAAGCCTGTTTTATTTGCTGTAGTTCAGTCCTAGCCCTACACTTACCTTACTTGAGCAAGTCACTGAATCTTTCTTACCTTAGTTTCCTCCTCTGTAACATGATGATAAGAATAGTGCCAACCTCATCAGATTATTTGAGGACTAAATGAATTAATGCACACGAAGCCCTTAGAAATGAACCTGGTGCAGGGCAGATACAAAGTAATTTTTGTCACTGTGATTGTTTACCAAGTGTCCCCCTGTCACATCCTTGTTCACTGTGATTGTTTACAAAGTATCCCCCTGTCACATCCCTCATCCTCTCAACAATCTTGTGCTGTTGTTATGACTCTCAGGCCCAGCTTGCAGACGAGGTCATGGGGGCTTAGAGAGGAGGAGGCCTGGGGCCAGCTGTGACCCTGGCTCTCCTGTGTTCGCCCCTCAGGAACCAGTGACGACCCGTTCCAGGACTCGGAAGGGCGAGAGGGCTCAGAGGCCGTGGCAGAGCACCAGTTTTCAGACCTGGAGGACTCGGACTCAGACTCGGACCTGGATGAAGACGAGGATGAGGACGAGGAGGAGAGCCAGGATGAGCCATCAGGACCGTCCTCGGAGGCACCCCCGCCCGGCCCACCGGCCACCCTACCGGCAGACTCCTCGCCCGTTCAGGGCCCTCCCAGCCCAGAGGCCACGTTTGGCAACCAGGCCCCACGGGGCAGCTCAGTCTCGGAAGCCGAGCCCTTGGCAGCCAGCAGTTGCTCCACGTCCAGCCAAAGCATCCTGTGCCTCCCCCGGCTGGGACCAGCCCCTTCGGGCCCCATGGAGAAGGACACAGGCTCAGCCCTGAGCTCCAAGGCCATGTCCCCGAGAAGGCCGTGGTCCCCAAGCAAAGAAGCAGGCAGCCGCCCACTGCTCGCCCACAAATACTCACTAACCAAAAGCGACTCGTCTCCCCAGCGACATTCACCGGCCCGAGAGCCACAGGCCTCAGCCTCGAGTCCGCCTGGTCCCCAGATGGGCCCTCTCCCTTGCGGGTCTCCAAGACTTGAGCTGTCTCCTCTCACCCCCCGCCCCCTGGGACGGGAGCTGCCCCCTCGAGCGCATCTGCCTCCAGAACGCGAAGGCGCCACAGACCCAGGCCCCTCCAGACACTCACCCACCAGGAGACGGCCTCCAGGCCAGGCCGAGTCACCACCACGGTCAGCACTGCCCGGGAAGTGGGCCTCGGCGGGGCCCGGCAGCCCCTCGGCGGGCGAGCGTGGCCCAGGCTCGGGGCTGGCCCCGCGGGCTCTCTACCCGCCCGCGCCTCTACCTCACAAGCTTCTCGGCAGAAGCCCCGAGACCTGCACCTCCACGTGGGTGAGTTCCTGCCCCGGGGGGGCTGGGCCACTTCTCCCTGGTGGGTGTGGGGCTGCAAGTTCATTCCACCCTCAGACGTCACTCCTAGAGTCAACAGTCCTGCCAGCTCAGTGGTTCCTACGAACTTAGCAAATGTTTATTGGGTACCTCCTATGCCAGGCACCAGGCTGGGTGCCTGAAACCAGTTGATTTAGCCTCAGAAGCAGCAGAGCACAGACTCTGGAGCTGGACTCCCCAGGATTAAATCCGGGTTCTGTGACTCACAAGTGGTGTGGTCTTGGACGTGCGTGTAAATACTTCTGCCATTTCCTCCCACCCCATCCCCATGTATTCTTTGCACAGATGGCACAGCTTAACCACAACCAGCACATCTCCAGCATCCCTGGCACCGGAGCCCTCAGACACACCACAGCCAACACCATCCCTGCCAAAGCATCAGTGACATCGCTGTCTCCATCGCCAACGCTATCTCTGCCATCCTTACACTCCAACACACCATTCCTGCCACCCCATCAGCCTGATGAGTGTTGTCATATCATCAGCACAGTCACCATCACTGTTGTCACCACCCTCCCTGTCACTGCCATCACATCCAATACCATCCCTGTCAACACCGCTGTCATGACCTCCAGCACTGACACCACTATCATGATCAACTTACCTTCACCTTCCGACACCTTTTCTGTCACCATATTGTCATGACCCAACACCACCGGCCACCATCAGCAGCATTGACACCATCACTCAGAGATTCAAGCTCCTAGAGGAGCATGATCTAGGAATCTTTCCTTGATTTTTAAGTTTGGGGTCACATTAAAATTCCTGGTGGTGGGAGAAGGCCAAGAGCCTTGAGTGGGAAATCATGTCCAAGGGTGAAGTTGGTTCAAGACCATTTTAGGAACAGGAGAGGCAGCAGAACCAAGATAGAGGGCCCCCTCGCCGGAGCACCCCCGTCCTCCACAGACAGGCATGCTGGCCAGATGCCTGGAGACTATGGGGCCTGAGAGTGCACACGGTCCCTGGAGGACTGGGGATGGCCCGTTCCAGAGAGGGCACCGGCATAGGGCGTCACCATGGGCAGGGAGTCAGAACTCGGTTCTGACTCAGTCGAGACTTGCTCTGTGATCTCAGGTGGCCCACCTCCTCACTGCAAGGGCTCGGGGTCTCCCTGGGCCCAGCATGGAACCCTTGCCTCACCCTGTCTTGTTTTCTGACCCCAGCAGAAGGCCGAGTCCCGAAGTCCCTCCTGCTCACCTGGCCCTGCTCATCCTCTCTTCTCCCGACCCTTCTCCGCCCCCCATGACTTCCACGGCCACCTCCCGGCCCGGACAGAGGAGAACATCTTCAGCCACCTCCCTCTGCACTCCCAGCACTTGACTCGCGCCCCATGCCCCCTGATTCCCATCGGTGGGATCCAGATGGTGCAGGCCCGGCCGGGGGCCCACCCCACCCTGCTGCCAGGGCCCACAATGGCCTGGGTCAGCGGCTTCTCGGGGGGCGGCAGCGACCTGACAGGGGCCCGGGAGGCCCAGGAGCGAGGCCGCTGGAGTCCCACTGAGAGTTCGTCAGCCTCCGTGTCCCCCGTGGCAAAGGTCTCCAAGTTCACACTCTCCTCGGAGCTGGAGGGCAGGGACTACCCCAAGGAGAGGGAGAGGACGAGTGGGGGCCTGGGCAGACCTCCCGACTGGGAGCCCCGTGTGGCTAAGGTGCCCGCAGAGCCCGCACCCACGCACTGCCCCCGCACCCCACCCGAGGCCTCGCCTCGGCCACCCCACGGCCACCGAGCAGAGCCCCGGAGCCCCCGCTTGGAGTCCCCACGCACACTGGCCAACCCTGCGGCCTCTGCCGCCCCGCCACTGGACCGCAGCAGTTCGGTGGGCTGCCTGGCAGAGGCCTCCGCTCGCTTCCCAGCTCGGAGGAGGAACCTCTCTGGGGAACCCAGGACCAGTCAGGGCTCCCCGGAGCCCTCAGGAAGTGGGGGGCCCGGGGCACCTCCACACCAGCCCGAGGACAGGGGCCCCCCAGGCACTTAGCCTCTCTCCGACCGCTTCTGCATCTGGCTTCCGGTGTTCGGCAACAGACGTTTCCAGCCAACTTCCTCGAATCATCTCGCTCTCATGGGCTCCCTCTCCCGTCTGTCCGTCTGTCCAGGCAGCTTCTGCCCAGCCCTGATCTGTTCTATCTTCCCACGTATGCAGTTACCTGTGCCTTCTTCTATATCTTTTGTTGCTTGAAAAGAAACAAACACAACACACACACATAAAAAAAAAACCCACGAGGAGGTTGAGGCTGTGAATATTTTGTGCTTTTCCGAGAAAGGGTGTAGGTGGGGCTTCACCCTGGGCCGCTGCGCTCGGCAGCCACCCCCCAGGTTGGCAAGAGGTGGCTATTTGCTGAGGGAAAAGGGATGCCTGGAAGGAGAAGAAAAACCAAGGAACTTTTAAAAATATATAATTAAATGTAAAAGTAAGCACTCCTATGTACAGACATTCATGTTTCCTATTTATTGCCGCTTCGTCCACCCCAGCGAGTGGCCACCCCTCTCTGCCAGCAGAATGGCCAGCGGCCTGAGGCAGAGGGACACAGACAGAGGCAGGGAGACCCCACTCAGCCTCCACGTGCAGGCCTGGAAAACTCCAACTTTCTTTTCCCCAAGAAAAAGAAAATGTTACTTTTCCTAGGATTTCAACACAAAATAATAGGAACAGGTAGAAGGTGAGAGCTGGTAGGTTCCATCCCAGGCTCCAAGATACCCAGGTGGTCTGAGTCATGGGCCCAGCCTGGCATTTGACCCATGGAAATCCCCCTGCCCACCCCCCTCTCGGCCCCCCAGCATCCCCCCTCTGTGCCCCCACCCCCAGCCCCTGGGCTGAGAGAGGAGCCCTGACGCTCCATCTCCCGGCTCCTGAGCACCTGACCTAGGCCTTGCTCTCAGGGCCCCGGCCACAGCCCTCCTTCCTTGTTCTAGAAACTACCCGCAAGGCTGAAGTGGCAGGCCCCAGACCTCACAGGTCAAGATCCAAGGTGCATAGCCTCGCCATTCCTGAGGCCAGGGCTGAGGCTTCCTGTCACGTTTGGTCCCTGGGGTACAAAGGGCCCTGTTTCCTCCACGGCGGGGCCGTTCCAGTGCTCGGCAACTGGACGTTTGCAGAGCCCCATTTCTGGACCTTTTGAAGCAGGACTGTTCCCTCGTCCCTGCCCCACACCCTGTCAGGCCTCCCTTACGCCCAGGAAGTACCCAAACCGTGCCTGGCGGGAACAGCCCAGACCTGTTTTTTGGCTTAAATCTCGTTTAAAAAATTAAATTAAAAAAAATAATAATAATATATATATGTAAATCTAGAAAGAGAGGCTGGTGTTTGACACTTTTTCCAGCCTCCTCAGATTCTCTTGGCTTAAGAGGATTTTTCAGTTGTCCTAAGTCATTTGAATTCTTCCCCAAAGCAATCAGTACTAGCCAGTGCCTCCTTCCTTGTCCCCATTTCCTCCTTCAAGAAGCTGCCCTGCATTTCCTGGGGCAAAAACTTGCTTTGTAAGAAAACTAATGTGACCAGAAATGAAAATCCCAAGTTGAAATATGAAACTTGACTCTAGTCCTGGAGAGGTGGGTTTTTCCCAAAATTATTCCCCAAATTGTTTCCTTTAGTTACAAGGGGGAGAAAGGCTAGGGACCACAGTCATGGGCCACCCAGGCTGGTGCTGACAGATCTGGGACCTCCCAGGGCTGTCCCCGGTCCTCAGCCAGGCCTCATGAATCCTGTGCCTGTAGGGGCTCCTAGCTGTTGAGGTTGTTTAGACAAGACATCCCAATTGGGGAGCGTTGAGGCCCTTCAGCGAGTGCCCCGCGCTCGGCCATAGTTCCCTCTTCCGCCAGTTCAGGACCTTCCCTGCTTGGCCCCTGCTGGGTGGACAAACCAGCCACAGGTCCAGCCTCCAGCCAGACCACCTTGTTCATTTCCCTTTGTCCTGTCTCAGAGCTAAGACACAAAGGGGACAATAGGGAAAGGGCCTCCCCAGGGTTCCACTGGGCTCCAGGGTGCTGGGGGTATGATTATCAAGCAGTTCCCAGCTGCCCGACCCAGAGTCTGGTGCTCTCGCCAACAAGCCAGGCCTTGACCACATTGGCACTGATTTGGCCTGGCAGGAAGTGGCAAGGAGCCCAGGCCCCAATCACAGCCCACGTCGGAGGCCAAGGCCCTCCTCACCCTCGTCTTTCCACCCTACCCCGTGGGGCTGCCCCAGGACTGGAGCCTTCAAGCACTGAGGCCTGGGAGCTGGATGAAGGGCATTGCTTGAGCCCAGGTTTGACATCTTCCCAGGCAAGATCTTCCAGCCCCAGATCTCCAAAACAGCAGACTGGGGCTCTGCAGGACTAGCCCTGGGAGTGGCCATGCCCTTCCACCCGCCCTGCACCCCCAGCTCTCCTGGGCGTCGTTCCCCCTGTACTCAGCCCACCCACCAAGATTTCCTCCCTGGGAGATCTAGTCGTGGACGGTGTGGCCAGGAGGGGAGAGTCCTCAAAGCCACTTGGGCCCACAGGCACAGGCAGAGGGGACGGAGGCCAGGAGTCACTGACGACCCCTTTCTCAATGATGGGGACATGATGCACAAATGCAATGTGGCCGAAAGGCTACTGCCCCCACACAGGTGCCCAGAGGGACAGAATCAATGCCATCAGCCTGGGTCACGTGTCACTGGACACAGCCCTAATCCCCTCTGCCAGACTCTATACCCCCTCCCCAGAGCACAGAGCCCCCAGCCCACACACACACCTTCATAATTTGGAAAAGGACTTTCACTCTGTGTCCTTCCCTAGGGCCTCCTGCCCTGTTCCCAACCACTTGCGCATTTCCAGTTCGCCTGTGATGTTATTGTCCCTGTTAAGGGACGCGGTGGAGAAAGCAGAGCTGACTTGTTGGCAGGGACACCTATCACGTGCTCTGTTGAAACGTGCAGGATGGCCATTCCTTGGTCCAGGCCCGCTCTGGTCCTTGGGGGTTGGCAGTGGCGGGGGAACAAATTTGCCAAGGTTTCAGAGCTAATACTTGCCTTCTGTTGGGGATTCCAAGCCACTTGGCCCCCAGGCCTACCCTCCAGGATGCCCCGCACCCTCGGCAAGCTCAGGGTCATTCTGGGTACTAACCTTGCTCCTCTCTGAGGCTCCTTTCCCCAGGCCTGTGCCCCCCACCACCCCCACCCATGGCTTACACTCTGATCCCAACTACTGAGACCCTCCAGGAGGCCAACAGCAGTGACGTCCCCACTCTCCCACCTCCATCACCTCCAACTTCCAGGCCCAGAAGTCCTTCCACCTCCCGTGCAGGAAAAAGTCTGGAAGAATTCGCTTCCAGATCTCTCTGGCCCCTGCTCCATCCTCACCCCACCGTTTTTGAATAGGAGCAAGCAATATAGCTGATCTGAGCTGCTCTCTAGTCCTTTCTCCAGACAGATCCTTCTTAGAGCAAAGTCCTGCCCAGACAGCCATCCTCAGAGACAGATCTGCAGCACTGACCAAGGGGAGAAGGTTCTCGAAGGTCTGTTCCACAAATTCTGCTTCCATGTCGTGGCTCCAGTCCGCTTTTCATTAGAAGCCCGCTTCGGCACTTACGATCACTTTACTAAACCTAGTGTTAAAACAAGAAGAGAAACGGAAAAAAAGAAACGTGTAGGCAGATGTAAGATACACGCTCTCTGTAAGATAAATATTTGCCTTTTTTTCTAAAAGGTGTATGTATTCTGTACGTGAAATTGTCTGTAGAGAGTTCAATGTTTTAAATGGCAATACATTCCAAAAATCGTACTGTAGATATGTACAGCCACCACACTGGATGGGGTAGTTTTGCCTGTAATTTTATTTAAACTCCAGTTTCTACACTTGCATCTTGCAATGTTCATATGGTATATATCAGTGCAAAAGAAAAAAAAAACTCAACAAAAAATCCACGCAGGTCTAAAGCACAGAGTCTGATGTACAAAAGGAAGACAATGCTCAGTATTGATGTGTGTGACCTTTGTTGTAAATTACATCTGTACTGTGAATGAGAAGTTTTTACAAGTATAATAATTGCCTTTATTACAGCTCTGGCTGAGCGTTCAGCCTGAGGATATTTTTTAAAAAAAAACAGCACGTTGGAATAAATTTGAAAATCCCAACATAGCTCTGCTTGCCTGGCTCATGGTTTTTCTTGAGGGTTGTAGAATGTCAGAGTTGGAGGGACACTTGGTGTCCTTAGGACTTGTTTTACTACAGAGCAATCAGGCCCGGAGAAGGTGAGTGACTGGCTCATAGTCACACAGCCTGGGACTCCTGTGGCCCCCTCGCTCCTAGGCCTGGTGAGGAGGCACCAGATACATCGCCATGTGTTTTGGAGTCTGTATTAGTTTCCTAGAGCTGCTATAACAAATTATCACAAGCGAGGTGGCTTGAAACCACAGAAATTTATTCTCTCACAGTTCTAGAGGCCAGAAGTCTGAAATCAAGGTGTCAGCAGGCTTGGTTCCTTCTGGGGCTCTGAGGGAGAGTCTGTTCCACGCCTCGTCCTAGCTTCTGGTGGCTGCAGGCAATCCTCGGCCTTCTTCGGTTTGTAGCTGTATCACTCCCGTCTCAGCCTCTGCCTTCACATGGCTCCCGTCTGTCTGTCTGTCTCTTCTCCTCTCTCCTAAGGACACTTGTCATTGGATTTGGGGCCCACCCTAATCCAGGATGATCTGATCTTGAGATCCTTAAGTTAATTACATCTGCAAAGATGCTTCTTCCAAATTCAGGTCACACTCACCAGTTCCAGAGATCAGTACACAGGCTTAACTTTGGAGGCCCACCATTCACTGCTCTGCAGAGTAAGACCTGGCATCAGATCATGGCACAGCCACTTACTGCCTGTGTGACCTTGGGCAGGTTACACAATCCCTCTGGGCCTCCCTTTCCTAATCTGTAAAGCGGAGTCTGTTGTGAGGGTTAAATGAGACGGTATACACAGGGTGGCTGACAGAGCCTTGAACACACTAAGCCTTCAACAAATATCCTCTGAGCAGACCGTGATGGGTGCTGGGGTTCAAGGATGGAAAAGAGAGGCTTGAGTGCCCACCTTTTGCATCCAACAACAATTTGCTGAGTGTCCGTGAGGAAAACAGACAGTCCCATCCTCGAAGAGCTTCCCTTCTAACAGGAGAGGCTGTCCTTAAACAAATAATGACATCATTAATGACTCAAAGGCAGTGGCCATAACTGCTATGGCGGAGAGCCCCAAAGCTTTAGTGCAGAGTCTGAGTTATGCTGGAGACCTTTCCTGGGACACTCCTGAGGGCCAGGCGGAGGTGGATGAGCAATGGGGGTCCTCGTGGTAAATGCTCCCTGGAAGTTTAGCACTAAGAACCTAGGACGGTCTCTTCATTTCAGTGACAACGGCATCATCGCTGACTTAGGGAGGAGCCAGCCTAGCACAGTGCCCTATGCATAAGGGGCCCTTCGTAGACACTGCAGGGCAGGTGGTGGTGGTTGGAGAGCGAGAAGGTGGGGAGGTGGCGACAGCAGATCCGGACACCTCCCCAGGGGCCCGGGGTGGGGGGCAGGGGATTGCTGGGGCAACAGCTGAGGGGGCCTGGGGTCCAGGGAAGAACGACTTGAGTGTGCCGGGGGAACTGATGGGAAGGAGACGGTGGGAATCCAGCCACTTGGCCAGGAGGAGGTGCAGACGCCTCTCCCACGGTGACCCAAGGGAAGAGGCACAGGGCAGTCAGTGTGTTTGATTGGTGACAGGAAGTGAAGGGCATTGCTGCCCAGGAATTTTCCCTGTGAAATGGAGTGAGGCCACCTGCTGAGTGGGGAGGAAGAAGTGGCAGGGTGAAAAGTTTGGAGACTTGAGAAGGTGCGCATGACTTTTGCGGGGGCTCCCGGGGGCACTGAGGGCCGGGTGCTGCTTCTGCTCCACCGGGCGGTTTCTCCAGCAGGACTCAGCAGCCATGCCCTGGGCATGGATAAGGCTGCCAGGGAGATTCATCCAGAGGGGCAGGGAGGGTGAGGTTGGACCAGCCATGGGACAGACAGACAGTGGGGTACAGGAGGTGACAGTCTTGGCGAATGAAGAGGTAAGGTTATGGACCACTGCATTCACGGGCTGGGAAGGGAGCAAACGGGGGTGGCTGACACAGAGAAAGGCCAGTGGTCAAGTGACAGGGGATTTGGATGAAAACAGAAAAGAAACAGTTGTGAGTGGTCTTAGCTCATTATTGCAGAGCGAGAGAGCTGTGGATGAAGACGGTGTCAGCCACAGGTGTGAGCACTGAGGGGAAGTGGAGGAGAAGGCCACTGGAGACAAAGAGGCCAGGAAGCGAGCGTCCGGGGTGCTGAGTCGGCGGTGCAGGTGGCAAGTGAGGTCATCTCTGATCGCCGCAGGGCTGGGCTGGAGACGCGGGCTGTGAGCCAGGGTTTATCAGTGGGGATAGGTGCTGTCAAGCAGCAGAGACAAGCAACCTAGGAACTCAGGGGCTGAATGCAACACAACTTTATTTTTTCCCAGGCCATATGTTCAGTGTGGCCGGCAGGGCAGTTCCACTCATCCAGGTCACTTGGAGATGCAGGCTGATAGAGGCTCTGTCTCTGTGCTCAGAGGCAGATAAAAAGACAGAGCTGTGGTACCTTGCACTGACAACCAAACGCTTCCAGCTGGAAACCACAAACATCCCTCCATTCACATTTCCTCGGCCAAAGCAAGTCATATGGCCAGGCCTAATGGAAGAGACTGGGAATATGTAAACAGCCCTAATGACGACCACGCGAGGCTCGGATCTCTCAGAGTCACAAGTGTCCAGGAGATGAGCAGACATCAACGATGCTCTCGGCCTCAAAGGTGCCGGATTTTTATAGGCAGTGAAAAAAATATGGTCTGGCAGAGTTCCCAGAGTGTGAAGATGGCACCTGGCACTAGAATCATGGGGTGCGGGAGGATGAGGAGCGGGCAACAGAGCAGCTGCCTGGGAGCAAGGCCTTGGGGAGAGCCCTGCTCAGCCTAGGCCAGTGGGAAAGTGGCCCAAACAGTCCCAGGAGAAGAAGAGCATAGGATGCGCCAGGCCCCATATCCAGCATTTTACAAACCTGATTTGTAGTCCTTACAACAACCCAGGAAGATGAGAGTCACTGTCCCCATTTTTAGAGGAGAAAACAGAAGTCCCAAAGGGCCTCCACCAGCCAAAGGCACACAGCTAGTTAGAGGGAGTGTGAGGACTGAGCCTAGTAGGACTCTGACGCAGCTCCTCAGGGAACCCTGAGTCCCGCCCTCCTCCTCTTTGCCCTGTGCTCCGGCCCCGGGGGAGCCCTGGGTCTCAGGCTGCTTGCCCCCTTCTGCCCAGGGACCCGTGGGACGAGGCAGGCCCAGGCTGGGGCTTCTCCCCAGCAGCTGCCTGGCTTCTCAGCAGTGCCGTCTGACAGCCACGTGGTGTCCCCGTGCCTGAAGCTGTAGGCGCAAAGACCCAACAGCAGATGCCAGGGCTTAAATTCCTGTACTTGAGAGCATAAAAGTGCATGGGAATTCTCTGAAGGACCAGCCGCCTGTCCTCTCCCACCTGCTGCAGGGCCCAAGGTCCCCAGTCATCCACACATCTCTGCCACCAGATCTCCCACGGATGCTCTCTCGAGGTCATGAGGCTCTTTCCATCTTAGAGAAAAAGGCAGGATGGGGCACACACCCCCATTTCACAGTCGAAGGGTGGACCTCAAGATCACACCCTGGCAAGTGGCAAGGCCAATGACTGCAGCTCCACCTGACCCAGAGCATCAGGAGGGCTTCTGGAGTGTCTGCAGCCACTGAGGCCTCAGCTGAGCTTTGCCTGACTCCCAATCCAGGGTTGGGCTGGGCCTGAAGGACTCGGAGATCCTGTCCTCACCCCTCGGCCTGGACCCTCTCTGAGCTCAGGAGTTAGAGACCGCACTCTGTCCTAGGGACTCCCAGGGCCAGGCTGCTGCAGGCAGAACAGCCTCAGAAGGCCCAGCCTGAGATGGGCATGAGCGGAGAGAAGCAGAAAGAAGAGTCAGGGAAGGGCAGGGGGCCGCTGAGGTGGGAGCAGCCTGGGGCTGCACTGCAGGGGGCTCACCCTGGGCTCCTGAGCCCCTGGGGGTGGGGGGGTTATCATCTCATCACCTTTACAGAGGAGGAACACTGGGGCTCAGACAGGTGACACTGCTTCCCAAGGCCACAGTGCTAAGGGGCAGGGCCGGGATTTAAACCTGGGTCCCCATATTCGGGAAGTGGTTGACTTCCTGTGGGAAGAGAATCTGGGCCTTTTTGCTACTGAGCAGCCCTCCAACCCAGGTCGGAGTTGGGGGACCCCAGTATACCTATCCCCCAATCCAGTCAAAGCCTCAGCCACTTCAGGAAGACCCAGCTGCCAACTTCCCCCTTTTGTAGACGAGAAAACTGATGTCCAGAGCCGGGAAGAGCTCGGCCTGAGGCCAGGGCTGGGATTCCTGAACCCTGGGCAGAGCCACCTGCACCACCCGCCCACCTCTCCTCTACCCGAGGTCATCTTCCCGCCTCTCCTGCCCGGCTCTGCCTTTTTAGGAAAGGAAAAGAGCAGCCCTGGTGGCAGGCGGGCGGGCGGGCAGGCGGCCATGCTAATCCACCAGCTCCCGGCGGCTCTGGTTACCGTGGTTTGGGGCCTGGGCAGCCCCAGCTGGGAGTGCCGGCCCAGCCAATGGGTGCCGCCGGCCGAGCCACCCTGCCAGAGCCATACAAGGCCTTGCTGCAGCCCAGTCCCAAGCCAGCATAGGGCAGCCCCAGCGCTGGCACCCGCCCCGCCCGTGAGCCTGCCAGCCCGGCACGTCCTCGGACTCTGCCTAATCCAGCCTGGGAGCGGGCAGGGCTGCAGTGCACGTGCACCAGGCCCAGGGTTCCCCAAGGTCAGGAAGGTGGCACTGCCAGGGCAGAGGCTAGAATCAGGGCAAGGGCCTAGCCAGCAAAGAGGATCCGAGCTGGGGTCAGATCGATGGAGTACAGGCATGGTCCAGGCTGAGCCATGACTCAATGAGATGCCCTTCCATTCCCATCATCCCTTTTGCCTGACCGGCCACCTGTCCTGCCTCTTCCACCTCCAGGAAGGGTCTCCGCAAAGTTAATATCTGGTCTCTACTCCTTCTTGAGTCTCCCCAGGGTCCAAGCCCCAACT